ATAACAGGAATTAATACCTGGCCATTAAATAGAATTAATTCTGGCTATGCCAGACAGCTGGGAGGGATTTCAAGAGATGTTGTAGTGTGAGAAAAGCAAGATGTAGAAAAGTGGATATATGATGATCTCATTTTTGTAAAACTAAAAAAAAGGGAATTCTGTATTTGTGGGTTAGTGTGTATATATATATATAGGTCTTTTTTTTTCATAAATATACATATATTTTACATGAAAAGACACACTGGTTTAATATGGATTACTGAAGGGGGTGGAGAATCGAGGAGAGGGTGTACAGAAAGGGAGTTACCGATAATAAAAATAGCATTTTTGAAATCCTTTAATGTGAAACTGTGTGTTTACTTAAATGGAGGTCACCAACATGCTAATGGTGGTTTGAGTGAGGTGTCTGGATTCTCCATGACCCTTGTTTTTTAATATTTTAATGTATCATTCATATTCTTTGTAAAGAACATTGTTACTCATATCAGGAGGAAAATTTATATTCATAATGGGAGGAAAGTTGACATGGAATGGCCTGAACACAGACATTGGACAGCTACTCTCAGACTTAAGAATATCTGACCTAACTACATGAGCAGTTAGCCCATACAGTGTTTGTCGGCAAGAAGTCTTTCCATCTAATCTTATGTCAGTTGACTAGTTCTATTATCTGTTGATTTGATGGTGGAATCTACTTAGAGTAATATGTTTCTGGTTTTGATTTGGAAACCTTTCTTTTGTAAATCTTTTAGGCAAAGATAATGTGTTCCTCAATATGCAAGTGTATTGGCTGTAAGAATTTTGAAGAAAGCCCAGAAAGAAAGACTTTGATGCACTTAGCAGATGCAGCAGAAGTAAGGGTACAGCAACAAACAGCAGCGAAGACTAAGTTATCCTCTCAAATTTCAGACTTGCTTACTAGGCCTACCCCAGCTTTGAATAGTGGAGGAGGAAAGTAAGTCAATATGTTTATCTTTTTTATAGTGTGGCTTGTTTATTTATTTTTGGTAATGTTTCTTTTTTTGGGGGGGGTGCAAAATAGAATTCATACTTTTGGTTTATGCAAACTTCAATTTTGCATTTTCTTTCCATCTTTAGTTACTTGTTGTAAAGGAACCTAAAGGTAACAGAAAAACCATTGTCAGATATATTACACAATTCTAAAATGCAGTTAATACTGTAGTTCACATTTGAGGCTTAATTTAATTGAATCCCTCCTTACTAAGATGAGGTAATTATGTAATTTGACAAACCCTCAAGAAAACTGAATTTTTTATACCTCTTACTGGTAGTATCATTATTCATATTTTAGATTTTGCCCTTTCTTCCCTTTTTTGTGTTCTGGTAGCACTTTTTATGTCCCTGTCACACATTGTATTATTGTAATCCCTTATTGCTACACCTTTTACTAGACTTCTGAACTCTGGATTAGGAAGAGCTTGAGCTTTAAAGTCAGGCAGACTTAAAATGCTATCTGTGCTACTTAGTTGCTTGCGAATTAGACAAGTGCTTCATCTCCCTGAGCCTGTTTTCTTATTCTTAAAATAGCCCTTAGCAGGTGGCTGTGAGAAATAAAGCATCTCTATCCCCAGTGTTTGGCAGGGCCTGATGCTACATAGTTTGCTGACTTGAACTTTTAATAGAAAGTTTGTTAGAGGTTAATTTGAAGAATTATCAAATGGGATGAGCTTTGCAAATGATGTATTATTTAAAATACTTAAGTTGAAGTTAAGTCCCAATGCTTATGAAAGTAAAGGCATTATTTGTACAAAATTTTTCCGATATTCTAAAGCACTGTTAAAACTGGATTATAATCAGCAAATCATCCTTGAATGAGTTAAAGGCAAATGGGCAGCACCTTAATGAGGGTTATGACAAAGGATTCTTTCTGGTCATCTGCTTTTAATAGTCTGTTAGATTGTTTAATCTATGTGTGAAGATAAAAAAGATGACTACACTACGATGTTTCCATTAATTTTTCAACTTGGAGAATGTTTATGCTATTATAAAGTGAAAAAGAACACAAAATTACACACTATAATCAAAACTCTCTATATATAAACACTATATAAAAAATAGCAAGCTATTTCCTTGAGTGACAAAAACCTTGAGTTTTTTTTTCTTCTACTTTTTATAGTTTCCAAATATTTTGAGCATGTTCATTATACAATATTATTACTTATCCAACATTATCATAATAGCAACATTATATTATTATTATTATAGTAGTATTTTCTAATTTAAAGCCCTTCTTTGACAGCCTGAAACTTCAGTTACCCTCTTTCGTCAAAGTGGGTCTTAATTTCAGACTTTATTCTGCTTTGCAGCTAATTTATCTCAGTGACTGCTTACCTACAGGTTGTAGAGTTAGTAGTTAAATTAAGTTGCCTGATTTAATCTGTTGAAGACTTTAAGGCTTGAATTAGCTACACTATAGCAAGCCTCAGGACAGACTGCTCTGATTTAATACTCAATAGTTCTGGTCTTCATACACGAAACTCTGTATGCATCCCCGAACAGTGGTTTCCCTTTTTTGTGATGGAACAATGCAATTTTTTTTTCTTTTACATTTTTGTATGTTTTTTACAAACAATATAATATGGTATGTGCTTTATTTTCAATGTTGCCTAAGAAATAATGCTTTAGGTTCCCGATATCATTCATTCAACACATATTTATGGGTATCACTATGTGTCAGACACTGTTCTAGGCACAGGAGAAACAGCGAATGAAACAAAGACTGCACTCATGGAGCTTACATTCATGAATTGGGAGGACTGTAGTTATAGAAACTTTAGTCTCCACGTAGAATTACATCTTTTAGTTAACTAGATAGCCTCGACTAGGTAATAACTCATGTTCTATGTAAAATGCTATATTTCCGGATGAATGTATTTTAAAATATGTTCAATAATAAAACCAAATGTAACTTTTTAGAGCTTTTCAGGACATGCTTGGGCTCATTGTCAAATTGCGATGCTCAGTATACTGGTGATCATGAAAGTTTCCAGGTGAATGTCATGTCCACTCTTGTTGTTACTCAGCCATCATCATCTCTCTCTCTCTCAAAAATCATTTCAGATTGCCATTTACATTTGTAACTAAGGAAGTAGCTGAAGCCACGTGTAATTGCCTTCTTGCCCAGGCAGAACAAGCAGACAAGAAGGGAAAGTCAAAGGCAGCGGCTGAACGGATGATACTTGAGGAATTTGGACGATGTTTGATGAGCGTCATCAACTCTGCAGGAAAAGCAAAAAGTGACCCTTGTGCCATGAATTGCTGACTGTTGCACAAAAGACTGATAAATGGAACTGTACAGAAAATTTAAGGTGCAGGGACACTTGATTTTCTGGAAGATTAACAATTACTGTGTTGTTAATTCAGTCCTTGTTTTAAGAGACCTCAAATTATAATATTGAAAGAGAAGTAATTTTAAATGAGGAAGTAGTACGTTTTAAATCTTAGTTAAATCTGCTTATGCCCCTTCTAAATTGAATTTTTCCTTATTGTATTACAGAAATTTTTAATTTGCTTGGGTTTCGTGAGAATTAGATGTTCTATCATTCTGATTCTATTGACAAAAAAAATTTATAAATTATTATGATACAATTTATAATGTATGGAGTTGTATGACTTTGTTCCAGTAGAAGCAGCCAAAGAACACTGGTACTACCCAGTTCTTTGGTACAAAACCTAGAATATAAGCAAATAGAATGTCTGTGAACATATTCAGTTGACATTTTGTGTTTAGAAAAGCACTAACTTTTTAAGCAAAATTAGCTTTTTAAGGAGAATTCTGGAATAATGTCCCACTTTGGGAATATCAGAGGGGAAGTAACCCATAGGCATGCTTTTAAAATAAAGTATTTTGTTTTTAAAAAAACATATAAAGTGTTAAGAGACAGTAAACTAAATCTCAGAGGATGGGCAATGTTTCTGTAATAAGAAGTGACTAACGAGTGCTCTGGGTTGTCTCCATTTTCTTGCAAAAAGGTGGTATGTATTTGAAATGATCATAAATTGTCAGTAATTACTGGTTACTATTAAAATGGAAAGGTGCATCTGAACAGAAGTAAACGTATTGTTATATAGTGATAATATAGAATCTCACATAATTATCAGGTATAAAATTTGGCTTGGATGGAGAAATAAAGAATATTGAAGTTGTAAGAGATGATGAATTTAGGGAAGGATTTTTCATCTTAAGAAAAGTTCCCTTTATAGACTTCTGAACTAAGAGGTTTCAAAACCAGTATGTGACTCTTACATGATTTACTGAAGTGGGCCTCCTAACGAAGCTTTCAAAATTATAGTGGGATTTCTTTTTATAAGGAGAGTTTAATATGGCATTATTTTTAACCAGTGCTTTGGTAAGCTGAAGTATGAGTGTTTTCATATAATTACTAAAACAGCCTAAATCACTTTTGCTAATTCAAAATTCAAAAGCTTTATGAATTTAAGAGCCTGCTGTAGCAGGACTCTTGATTTTATGGCAAGAAAAAACCATGTTGGAATTCAGGCATTTTGTTAGGTACCTTAATCCTTAGTAATTACTAGTATATAATTATTACATTTCCTAAAAGGAATCTATAATTGTATGTATTAAGTGTGTATACATGTTCATATGAACACACAGATGTAGACAATAGAAATTAAGTAATTCAGAAGAGTATTCCGTTATTCATTATCTTCCTTTTGAAATTTGGATTTCAAAATTATAGTGCAGTAACTTTAAATGTAGATAGTGCAGATATTCTTAGCACCTCAATCTAGTATGTTTAATTAAAATTTGTATAAATGTAAATTAGTGTAAGAGGATAAAATAATATCTAATCAAGTTATTTTTCAAAAGATTGCAATACCTTTTTGGTCTAAACCTAAACTTCTTTGTTCATTTTGTACATATTCTGTGTTAATTCTAATTGCACCTTTGTGATGTGTATTTATATACAGTGTGCAGAAAATGTTTGTGAAATTTGGATTACAATTGTAGATTATGTATGATGGCATTGCTTGACAATGTTTTGCCTGTAAAAATTTGAAGGTGCAATCAAATGCTACTAGTTTTTCTGATTTTCAAGAAGCTATCTAAAATATTAAGCCTTTTCCCTTCCTGTGTAGTACTTACTAAACAACTTCTTTTTGTATTTAGGCATTTGCATCAAATTGCTGAACAAGATTAATAGCCACCTTCAACAATTTTAAAAGACTATTTGGGGAGGGTTGGGTATATAATTTTTTAGCTCTATTTACATCCCAAAGTAGAAAGATTAAATTTATATTTACTAGAGCTATTCAAAGAATACACTTTTCTATATTGTAATAACAGGACAGCAAAGTAAATCATAAGGAAAATAAACATTTATACTATTCTGTAAAAAAAAAAAGGTTTTGCATTTTTTCTTTAGTTTAATACACCACATTTAACGTGCAAGAAACCTTTTCAAAGATCTAATTTTAAGTAAATTTGACATTATTTTAGAAAGCACACAACTAAGATCTGTCATTTTGCTCAGTCTCATTAACAGATTGCTTCAAAAGGAGAATATATGTCTTCTGTTCTTTTTTCCTCTTGTTTCTTTTAAGGGCAGAAGCTCAATCTCCTGCTCTTTTAATGTGTGATGTTCTGATGATGAGCACCTTAGTTCCCTTTTCTCTCAAGAACTGAAAGCAACCTGTAAGTCTTATCTCTGGACTATCTGGGAAATAGAACCTTAATGTTACAGGTAATAAAACAAGCAGAGTAGTGACTTTGGGGATTGTGATGACTTGGAGGGTAGTGGTGGCAAGTATTGCTTTAGCTTCCCCATTTCTTTATATGGACAACTGACATTTTCTCAGTCTTATGTAAAATGTGAATAAAAAAACTTTTAGAAAAGTTTTCTATTTTTATTGTTCTTAACACAAAAACTAAGAAATTGAATATTTATTTTGCACATGAAGCTTCAAACCAGGACCTCCAGCCTTACCTTTGATCATATTGCATTCTTTAAGCATTCTATATAGAAATTCTGGAGCAGCCATCCAAAGCAGAAGGAAGCCCATCAGCTAACAAGTCTTTCTTATTGAAGTTTTCTATAATGCAGATTACTTAAGGCTTTTTTTCTTGTTAGCACTTCTTGAATACATGTTTTACCATTATGTGTCTACTGCCCTTTGTCTCTGACTCAATTAGAGACCAAATATGAGCTCTTTATGATCCAAGTGATTTTATAAAATAAATGTTATAAAGTCTTGATATAATTCACTGGAGCAACAGGCAATAGAAGAAAAACCATATGATCTCAAAAGATGCAGAAAACAATGTCAAATATACTAAAAACCCTGAATTGTATATACTTTAAAAGGATGAATATTATGGTCTGCAAATTATATTAATTTTTAATGCAAAAAAAGTCCCTGATAAAATACGACACCCATTTATGACTTAAAAAAAAATTTAAAAACTCTCAGCAAACTTAAGAACACAAGGGATCCTCAACCTGATAAACAGTATCTACAAAAAAGCCTACAGCTTTTTTGGTAAAAGAATGCTTTCCCCTTAAGATTGGGAACAAGGCAAGGAAATCCCTTACCACCTGCTACTCAAGAATATATTGGAGGTCCAAAACAGTTCATTAAGGCAACAGGGAGGCCCATAGACTGGAAATTAATAAATAAAACTATCTCTATTTGCAGATGATGTGCTTGCCTATGTAGAAAAACCAAAGAATCTGAAAACAGCTATTAGAACTAATCAAGTGAGTTTAGTAAGGTTAGTACACAAAAATCAATTGTCTTTTCCCATATTAGCAAAGAACATTTAGAAACTGAAAATTTTAAATTACCATTTACAATAGCACCAAAAAACATAAAATCTAACAAAAATATGTACAAGGTCTGTATGTTAAAAAGTACAAAACACTGATGGAAAAAAAAAATTCAAAGACAACCTAAAAGAATTGAGAGGTATATTATGTCCATGGATTGGAAAATTCAATATTAAGATGTCAACTTTTCCCAAATTGATCTATAGATTAAACACAATCTCAATGAAATCTCAGCAAACTAATTTAAAACTTTATATGGAAAGGTAAAACAACTAGGATAGCCAAATTTTTTTTAGAGAACTAAGTTGGAGGACGCCCACCTGATTTCAAGACCTGAAAATACCAAGTGTTGAGGTGGAACTTTCATACCTTGCTGGTTGGAATGCAAAATGGCAGTCACTTACACTTCACATATGACTCCATTATCTGGGTATACCATATTTTATTTATTCATCAGTTGATGGACATTTGGGTTGTTTTCCACTTTTTGGCTATTATGAATAATGCTGCAACTCTGTTTAATATTTTGAGGAACTGCCAAGCTGTTTTCCAAAGTATCTGCACCATTTTACATTGCTACTAGCAGTATATGAGGGTTCCAGTTTCTCCACATTCTTGACATTTGCTTGCTTTTTTTTAAAATTATAGCTATCCTAGTAAGTGTGAAGTGGTATCTCATTGTTATTTTGATTTGCATTTCCTTGATGGCTTGGAGCCCTGGTGGCGCAGTGGTTAAGAGCTCAGCTGCTTATCAAAAGGTCAGCAGTTTGAATCCACCAGCCACTCCTTGGAAACCCTGTGGAGCAGTTCTACTCTGTCCTATAGTATATGTATATGTATATGTATAGTATAGTATATAGTATGATGATGGCTAATGATGTTGAACATAAACGTGTTTACTGGCCATTTGTAATCTTGGGAGAAATGTCTATTCAGATCCTTTGCCCATTTTTTAATTGTGTTGTCTTTTTATTATTGAATAGGAATTTTTTTTTTCTCTTTTTATTGTGCTTTAGATGAAGGTTTACAGAGCAAATTAGTTTCTCATTTAAACAATACACATTGTTTTGTGACACTGGTTGCCAACCACACAACATGTCAACACTCTCCCTTCTTGACCTTGGATTCCCCATTACCAGCTTTCCTGTCCCCTTCTGCCTTCTTGTCCTTGCCCCTGGGCTGGTGTGGCCATTTAGTCTTGTTTTATGGGCCTGTCTAATCTTTGAAAGGTGAACCTCAGGAGTGACTTCAGTACTGAGTTAAAAAGGTGTCCAGGGGCCATACTCTCAGGGTTTCTCCAGTCTCTGTCAGACCAGTAAGGCTGGTCTTTTTTTGGTTAGAATTTTGTTCTACGTTTTTCTCTAGCTCTGTCCGGGACCCTCTATTATGATCCCTGTCAGAGCAGTTGCTGGTGGTAGCCTGGCACCATCTAGTTGTGCTAGACTCAGTCTGGTGGAGGCTGTGGTAGTTGTGGTCCATTAGTCCTCTGGACTCATCTTTCCCTTATTTCTTTGGTTTTCTTCATTCTCCCTTGCTCCAGGTGGGGTGGGACCAGTGGAGTATCTTAGATGGCCGCTCACAAGCTTTTAATACCCTAGACACTACTCACCAAAGCAGCATGTAGTACGTTTTCTGTATAAACTATGCCAATTGAGCTAGATGTTCCCTGAGACCATGGTACCCAGCCCTCAGCCCAGTAATTTGGTCCCTCAGGGAGTTATAGGAATTCTTTATCTGTTCTAGATACAAGTCCCTTGTCAGATACATGATTTGTAAGATTTTCTCCCTTTCTGTGGGTGGGTTGGCTTTTTACTTTCTTGATAGTGTCCTTTGAAGCGCAACAGTTTTAATTTTGAGGAAGTCCAGTTTATCTGTTTTCTTTTGTTGCTTTTGTTGTCATATCTAAGAAACTATTATGTAATTTAAGTCACGAAGATTTACTGTTCTAAGAGTTTTATAGTTTTAGTGTTTACACTTAGGTCTTTGATCTATTTTGAGTTAATTATATGTGGTGTGTGGTAGGGGTCCAACTTCATTCTTTTGCATATGGCTAACCAGTTGTCCTAGCACCATTTGTTGAAAAGTAGGATGAATCCATGTTTGGAGAGAATGTTTTCTCTGAAGATGAGAAAAGAACAAAGATGCAAAGTAGAAAGTATAGGCAAATTGCCCTAATCAAATATGAATAATTTATAGAAAAATTCTTTCATTATAAAGCATATCATATCAAGTAAATATGATATCAAACTTGGTACCCTTTCACAAGGGTAAGAATAATTAACTGTGCTAAAGGCAGTGAAAGAAATAGTCAACATTTGTATGCCCCATTTTATCCAGCACTTAAATAATGCAAACACTAATTTCTCAAAATACAGACTATTGGTACATTAGTCTAATATAACAACAAAGAACATTCGACACCACAGATACGTACCTAGTTTTAAGTAAATATTAGGTACAAAGCTTGGATTTCTATAAATAAATTAAGGGCAATTTTTACAAACAGGCTTCCTTTAAATAAGACATCCTGGTAAATCTAAGGTCATTTTTTGCAAACAAAAACCACAACATTCAGACATCTCAGGAATAGCTCTTATATAAAATGCACTACACTAGGGGCTACATTTCAAAGCTTAAGCCTTGATCTGAGGTAGAATAAAGAGAAGTATACCAAAATACACTTTTTAAGGGGAATTCCAATGATAAATCTCAATTTTTACCTAATCTCTCACAATTTTAAGATTTCATATTAGGATTAAGTGTACTTTGTGAAGTCACTCAGTGACAGAGTAGATGTTTCACATACACAGGGTAAATAATGTGCTTTTTTTTAATCCATTAAAGTACTCTTATTTGTGAAAGTACATGTACCTATATATTTTTCTATTTATCTTTTCAAATCTTGGTGAGAGAATGGAGAAAACTGTTTCCATCTCTTATTATTTAAGCTTCTCCTAAATTTATGAAAAACCCATTATATAATTAACAATTTTTATATCCATTGCCTTGACTTTCTCCAACTGATCACATGCTAAGAAATTCCATTATTCATTCAATACTGAAAATGTTATTTTAGCCTCCCTGCAAACACAAGTAGACTTCAGTAGGAGCAGAAGTTGAAATAAAGCTCCCCATTCTCTATTGGGTTTTCCCAACAGGAGTGAAGTGAATATCTACCCTATTATTCAAAAATAATATTTCAAAGTTCGAGGACAATGGACTGAAAATCATGTCATCTTTGTCCTTCCCAGAATGCTTTCCCCAGCTTGCCTGCAGCACAAGGAGCCATCTCATGGCTCATGTGCTTACCTTCTGCCTGACAAAGTTTGATTGCTTCTCTATTTTAGGGTACCCGGTAAGGAGATTTTTGTGGTATTTTATAATTTGCTTTAGCTTAATTTTAAAACCAGAACTTAATTTTTTATATTTAAGTAAAAAATATATTCAAGGTTTTATAGGTATCTATCAAAATTCTTAACAGCCATGAATCAAAGCTCTTTTAGTGAGTATATTTATAAAAGGAGTAGATGTCTTGGTCACTCTTAGTTATTGTTATTCTCCCTTGTTTATAAAGTAGACTGAATAAGTTAAAAGTAGATCCAGTCATACTAGTCAGTCTTAGACTGGTGAATTCAAAAATAGCACCTGGTGGATAGTCTGTTCCTACTGACTGACTGCTTTCTTCATTTTGGGTAACTCTGAAATGCTCCAAGCCATACCAAAGTACAAGCAGATTTTATGATATGCATAATTAGAAATTCTAATGAGTCAGAATTGCAAACTTGCCCACTGTGCATAATGGTCAGTTTATAAAATCATGGTAAGGTGAACTTTGAAAATAAAACCATGTTGACCAATTACTCTTAATAAATTTTTTTAATATTTTTAGGATTTTCATTTGAATGGATAACCATTGTTACTTAGCAAATGGCTGAATTTATTGGTTTTGGTAAAACTTGAGCATTTGTAATCTTGCAAAGATGACAAGTGATTCTCTGATAAAGTTTTCATTTCAATTCTTTCTGAACGGTGTTTTAAAGGATACTGAGGTACGTCTTTAGCTCTTAGACTTAAGAAGCAAATTATTATATCCTTTAGCAACTTTACAAAGTGGTTGATGGCACACACTTCTCCGTCAAAGAGATGCTCATCTAAATCTACAAAAAGATAAATATGCCCAGAAAGCTCACATAATATTTTCTGCTGAAGGTACAAGTCCCTCATTTTTGGAACTAGTTCATAAATTGCCATTCTTGAATGGGTTCTTGCAACTCGTTCACAAATATCTATGACCCGACATAGACTTTCTGAAGGGAAATGCAAACCATTCTTCTTCTTAACACATAACAGTGATCCAATTTTAAACTCTTTGACATCCGATGCGTACAATGCCGTGATACAGTCCTCACAGGTTAAAAGAGCTGATAACTTATCAGCAATATAGCCAGCACAATAGGTGAGATTTCGCCTGTGATCTGACAGGTCTAGTAATGACTCACTCAGTGAACAACTCAACCAGTCTTGGCAAATATCCTCCTTGTGAAAAAGGGCCTTGATAATGCTGCCACCATACTGATGCTGAACTGTCCAAAGGGCCAAGTCTGTCCTTCGAGCAACTGAAATGTCGAGGATGCTTACTTCACTTAGGAAAACTTCATCTTGAAATCTGTATCTGGTCTCCAAATGATGGTAAGCTTTTTGGAATGTCATGCAGGTAGGGCTCGAACTGGTTACTAATACCTGCTTAAGCACCCTTAGAAATAATTCCAGATGATCCTGACTGAATTTGTAAGTCAGAAGGTATGGAAAAGGCATGACCTTTGTGAAAACATAATTTTGGTAGAGCCATTTTAAGCTCTCAGCATTAAGCAAAAATCCTAGGAATCCTAATTTTCGCTTACCTTTGATTATTTGATTATTGTTAGCATCAGATAAAGTAACAAAAATAGTCTTGGCCTCAGTTAACACGTGATTTATCTTACTGTAAGTTTCGGGCAATAAGGGTCCCTTAAGTCCCTTTCCGTAACGGTTTCTACTATTAAAGACATCGAACAGATTGTTAATTAAGCGTAAAAAATGGATGGTACCAGTACAGTTCTGAAAAGGAGGCAGGCCTATTGACAGCAAACATTCTAACGCGCTGGCTACACTCTCACTGAAGATTTGGGCGGCACAATTCATTTTTAGTACATGATTTTTTAAATTTGGAAGTGTACTTGGTATTCTTTCCATACTTGACAATTCCTGTTCCTCTAGTGCTACTAAATCCACAAGGTGCTGCCAACATGCTGTGCCCTTTACAAACTGGATGTTCTGAAAATACTGAAATGCATTTCTTATTAATCTAAGCAAGTGGCAAGAATCAAAAAAGTATGCAATCTGTTGACTAGAAGATGAAGGATGTTGAAATGTACACTTCATGTTGTCTCCATCGATATGTATCCCCAATGCTTTTGCCATTTGAACGCTGTGAGCTGTAGCATCAGATGTAACAGCCAGCACTGTGATGCCTATGTCACT